TATTGTAGTTTGAAAGGTATTGTTGAATTAGGATTGAACATTTGTTTTTAAATTCACTTGTGAGTTTCATTTTTCATATATATTTTCTAGTGTATAAATTGTACATTGAGCAGATGTCAAAATTTGTGAATTCATTGTACAAACTTCAAATCAAACAATGAAATACATCCATTTTGTTCAACCATATAATTTAATGCATTGTTCTCAGAGGAATTTATTCTATTTTAATGCAACTTTATCATGAACTTAGAAAAAAAACATCAAAAAGTATTGCTTATTTGAAATTATCCAACAAATGACATGGAGAGGAAATAAAATTTAATTTACAAACTTGCATACAACAAAGATCTGAACAGTTAACTTATTCTTCATTAAATTTGTATTTTGTTTTTGATCCAGGTGCTTTCTTGTTTCCTTACATCATCCTTCTCATTCTTGTTGGTAAACCAATGTACTACATGGAAGTTGCATTGGGTCAGTTCTCAAGCCTTGGCCCCTTTTCTGTCTGGAGGTGTTTTCCCTTAGGAAAAGGTAAGTCTGTACACCCATATACTACAGTTCTGTAGATTCAGTCTCTTGTCTGTCTAAAAAATATTTTTCCCTAGAGCAATGGTTCTCAAACTTGTTTGCTTGCAAAACATTTATATTTTTATCTTTATGGACCACAATTGGATCTGTATACTATGCTACTACTTCCCATCCATAATTATGCAACATTTGTATAGACCACCTGAAGAGATCCCACAGGCCACAGACTGAGAACTGGTACTCTAGGAAAAGATGACTTATTTTTTTCATATATAAACCTGCATTTTACATGGAGATGGCATTGGATCAGCTCAGTCTTAATGCTGCTATGGCCCTTCATCTTTCAGGAGATATTTTATCATAATATATGTAAATCTGTGAATATATGGACTGTGTATAATTTGGCGAGTTCTGCTGCCTTGACCTTTATGTGGAGATGTTTTCTTATGAGATAAGAAGAGTTTGTTAACTAATGTGGTATATATGAAAGTTACACTGGGTCATTTCTTTAGCCTTATCCCTTGTATTTCTGAAGATTTGACTTTGCTAACCTATGTAGTAATACTGAAATAGCACTGGGACAGTTCTCTAGCCTTAGCCCCTTATTTGTATGGAGGTTCCCCCCTAAAGAAAGGAGCATTTGAAAATTTATACTAAATAGAAGTGACGCTGAGTGTCAAGTTTTTATAGTGCTGTGATTCTTTACAGTAGGTGTCTATAGCTTGTTAGTGATAAATTTCAACAATAAACGAACAGCACTCAATCCATTTCTTAAAATAATATACATATTCAAAACAAGTCAAAGGTATATAGAAGAAAAATTCGTTACACTATTGGTTATCACAATTGTATTCAGAGCTTTAAATAATTCTCTTTTTTTCAAAGTCCACATAGACAGGTTCAATTACTTTAGAACACTCTTCGACATGACAGATTATTCTCCTCTACTCTCTTGTTACAATACAAGGCTGCGACACTCAGTTAAAACCACCACTATAACTGTTGGTTACCACAGTTGTATCCAGAGCTTTAAATAATCGTCTCATTTTCGTCGTAATCCACACACGTGGGTACTTTAGACTGAGTTGATTCTCTATCCTTAATTATCTAAAGGTACTTTTTTAACTGTGGAAGAAAGAGTTTGTAAATCTATTTATAAAATGTGATCTTGGTTCACTTTTTTTTTACTTTCTAGCCTTAATATTTTATTCTGTCTGGCAGTATTTTACCCTGGAAATAGGTTAGTGCATAAACATGTATATTGTATGGAGGTAGCACTGAGCTAGTTTGGCCTCTCTAAAGAATAGAAATCAGTAAACCATGGGCTTTATGTAAGTTGATAAATTCTGTAATCTTAGCCTCTTGTCTGTTTGTAGATGTATATTTATGGAAAAAGTTAGGTTTGTAAGTCTGTGTAAATATATTCTCTATAAAGCCATATACTTCACGGGGTGTCACTGGATCATTTCTATAGTCTTGGCTACATATATGCCTGAATATTTCTTTTAACAAAGAAAAGTTTTATAACAAATGTTCTACATGGAAGTGGCATTGATCAGTTCAGCCTTTCACTTTTTGTCTCTTATGATGTTTTCTCTTTAGAAATGGAAATACGTTAACCCATGGTGACTCTGGTTAAGTACTTTAATTTTAGTCCATTTGGAATTTTACCTTGGGGTAAAATGAGTTTATAAGCTTCAGTATTTTATGAAGGTGACACTGACTTAGTTCTCTAGTCTTATAGTGCTTTGTCTGTGTGGCAATGTATTCCACTATAAACCTAGACTCTACACGAAAATGACTGAAGTTGATTTCAGCTTTAGATCCTTTTCTCTGTTTAAAGTGTTTATTTCTAAGAAATGGAAATCTGTAAATCTGTCGTATTCTCCGGTACATTGATTTATCTTTCAGTTAATAATAAATATATAACAGGTTTTATCAGGAAATGTATTACAGAGTAAATCTTAGTTCTGACTTTGACTGAGTATAAAGAAAGAAACCAAACACAATATAAAATCAAGATGAAATGTAATTTTTTACTGGAAATATCTAGCTCTGGACTTTAGATCTGTAATAGAATAATACTTTAGAATAGCTCCAGACTAAGAGAATATAGCATTATGAAAAAATATTATATAATGCTATGCAAGTGTTATCCATATATGGTTCATTCCAATGAAATAAAGATATCCTGGAAGTATCACCCGAACTGCCAGTTTAAAAGACCACTGTTTATGTTTCCATAATACATTCTACTTTCACCAGTCTTTCTCACATGATAGCACATGTGGCCCCACAGAGGAAAACAAGAAATACTAAATATGTATTTACATATCCGAAATCAATGATGTAAATGCAAGAATTGTCTTACACTGAAAAAAAAAGTGAGCTGGTAATGGTTTTATCGTTTGGGTGAAGTACGTTATTTTACTATTCATAAAGCATTTGATAAAAGTATAGTATTTATTTTTATTTTTATTGTGATAAGTGCTCCAGTGAGCCAGCTATACAGTACTCAAATCCAGGGTACACAGAGTACAGATAGTCTATTATGTAGTTTTGCACTAGCCAAACAATATTGTGCTACATATGACTGAGTATAGTCTTTTGTTTTCCTTAATTCACCAGTGGTCCTTCAAAACTCAACATTTCAAAAATTGTGAAAGTATATTCTGTTTTTCAGTAATCAAAATTGATTTCTAAAATTACCATTTATGTTTTTTCTTTAGGAATTGGGGCAGCTATGGTGATAATATCCATTGTTGTTTCTATCTACTACAACGTTGTCATGAGCTATTGCTTATTCTATGTGGCACACTCATTCCATTTCATTATACCATGGGATGGTTGTTTTGATTGGTGGGGAGCAGACAACATTACTTGTTACGTCAGAACAAAAGACCAGGTACTGATATGGATGAACAAGTTTGTTGATTTTGTATAGAACAATGGCTAGTTGATTAATATGATCTATTCATTACGTCACAAACTCTATATGTTTTATTGAAACAGAAAACACCTTGATAATAAATATAGTTTAATTAAATAATATTAATTTGATCAGAAATACTCTGTGTTTATAAACTTCAGTATTTTATGAAGGTAAAACTGAATTAGTTTTCTAGCCTTATAGTGCTTGGTCTGTGTGGCAATGTATTCCCCTGAGAATAGGTGAGTTTATTTCGTCATTATATAGGTTAAATTATCATAGAAAAATAACTTTAATAAAGTATTAGCAAATCTTTTTACCAGAACTAACAATAATGTTAATTTTCAGCGAAACTGAGGTAATTTCCTAAATATGTTGGATATTAAATATATTGTTACGAAAGCGGAAGTCACGCGACTTCCGCTGGGAGCATGCGCGCTGGAGCTTCTCGAAGGATCATGAATTTGCCCGCCAGCTCGAGTGTGATCTAGATGCCCTCTTTTTTAGAGTATATATAAGCCTGGCAAAGAAAGCCGGTGGCAGATAGATAATTGAGTAAAGCGAACAGTAGGCACCGTAAGTAAAGAGACGATAAACATATTGACTGTGGAAATTCTGTGTATTACAAAGTTGTGTCGAGAAAGAATAAACTAGTTTTAATCAAGAAGGGACTTGTATCGCTGAAGTTTCTCGAAAAGAATTTATACTGGAAATTAATAAACAAGCAGATACGTAACAATATGGTTGAAATACCTTACAGAAAAACGTTGTCACTCCCAGCACTCCATTTAGTTAATATTTAAAATTTTGGGTATTTTCCCTGTCTGGAAAAATTAACTCTAATTTTCAAATTGTTTGGATGGAGAAGCTCCATTACAATTTTTTTAAATACAAATACAATTTACAAACTACAAGGACATCGACATGTTTTTGCTTCAAAGCCAAGTGATTTCTTTAATCAGGTCATTAACAATCTGATTGTGAGATGGAAAAGCA